TATAAAATTCAAGCTGCTACATGAACGCGAAGCACATCTGGTCAGGCGTGAGTGGGAATCTGAAATTCTTTGAACAAAAATCACTAAAAAAATTTTATATCTTTATATCCTAGAACTAATGAAATCTCTTTCAAAAAAAGTTAACTTAAAACATTTAGCGGTCTAAAACTTCTGAACAGCTTCAGAACAAGTAAAAAAAATTGTACAAAACTAAACATCTCACTGGATGTACATAACAACAGCAGTAGACGTCTTGCGAAGGAAATCGATGGAACAATTCAACAAAAATAATTTCAGTACTCACTTAATCCGTACAAAACTGCATAAATCCAAAGTAATGTCCCAAAAGAGATACAAAAGCAACAGATCATGAAGAACACTGGTGCCACATAATTCAAAGCTAACATTATCGTAAATCCGACATCTTTTGAGGAAGAGCAGTAATTTAAGTTAAAAAGTGACTGATAGAGATTGCTACGTGAAAAAAAAAAACAGTGAGCTTAATACACAAAAATCCTGAATTCGCCGTTTCAGCTCCTTCCGAATCGAAAAATCTTTCTCAAAGCACTTTCCTTCTTTGTCACTGGAGAAATGCTGAAATTCCAAAAGACATATTTAACAATCTGCAAAAACACGAAAGAAAACAGCCGAAATTTAGTGAAGCTCCAAATGACCCGAAATTATTTCTCGTCAAATCGTAGAAATTCAGACTGCCTTTTGTATTTTTTGATGATGAATACAGGAGATCGTCTTTTTAAACAACAGGATATATAGTAAAGTTTTTCGTTGCGTAAGCCTCGAGATATATGAATACTCTGCATGAGAGCAGCGAATCAGTTTGCCTCACCAAACACTTTTGTCTTCATCATTTCGATTGTCTTCGCATTTTGACAATCGGCCATTTCACGTCTCAAGTCTTAAAGACTTTTTGGATACCTTTTCCACGTCGTCCGCATACTTCTGACAGTACCTATTTTGAGGCTTTTCATGATGGCCACATTCACATTCTTATAGACCCCGTCCTCATTTCTCAGTCATTCGTTGCACAGACAACAGAATCAGTC